TAGAGACAGTCTTGGGAGGCATTCACCCCCAAACATCCTGTTACCTTCAAGCAATTAGGTATTTTCTCCGTAACACATTATATGCTTTAATCCTGTTGCATGTGTGTACAAAGCGTGTCTAGCAAGTCGTGTATGTGAGAAAATACCAAGCTGACGTAAAAGACTTTGCCATTGGATTTGATCAGTATCCAGGGGAAGTAAAGTCCCCCAAAGCAGGAGCTCTCCTCTCAAAGCAATTACAAGAGGGAATTTTGTGTACAAACTGAAGGTTTAGCTGGGGTCTGCAAATATCTAGAAATTCATCAGCTGGATAGAGCAAGAGGAGCTCCTTGGGACTAATCTGTGCAGCAGGTAAAAGTGAGCCATGCAGCCTGCTCATCAGTCAGGGTGGCAAGCCTCACACTCATTCCTATATGACACATATCAATCATTTTCTTTTCTAATCACTAATCCAACAGCTGAAAAAGGAAATATGCCCAACAGATATCAACAAAAATCTGGCTTAGCCAGCAGAGCTTCTCTGTTGTGCCAAGGGAACAACCTTCTCCCCTCTGCGAGGCCTCTCCTCCCAAGGAACAGACATCTAACTCTCCCTGAGCCTCTTTCAGCGTGCCAGCTGGGAATCAGGGCCCTGGGCACAATCCCAGCACCTGTGCCTAGTTTTCTTACAGAGCACAGCCAGCTGCTCTGCTAGGTCTGCAAATGTCCTGTATACCCAATTTCTTTTCTGTGGATTGCTTTGGATAAGCAATACGAATGTGTTGCTTATATTTGGATTTTGCAAATTCATTGCTTTACATTTACTTAACCTGATTTGTTTAAGGATCATATCAGGCCACTGATAAATGAAGTCATGCCATGTTTTTAATAATTAAACCAGGGTTATTGAACCAGTAGTACCCAGAACCCCCTGTAGTATTTTTAAGGGAATTTGAAGGTAAGCAGGATGTTACCACAGGCCACTTCGGAAACTATGACATGGAGTTTGTGAGGAAGAAGTGTTTTTGATGGCTGGTGTTTGTCAGCAAGCTTTTCTGGCATTGCACATGGTAGCAGAGACTATATTTGACCCTGAGGGTTCACAGGCATTAGATAATTGTTTTGCTCTTACTTAGTTCATGGCATGTTAGACAAGTCATTTCTGTCTGTGACACCAAACTATCAACTGCAAACTTCCTGTGTGGAAATAATTATGCATGTTTTCCAAATTCACATTATGTTCTTCTGTATCCAACAGTTCTTATGCAGAAAGGCAAGGTTAGAGTTAAGACCACTTTCACTGCTAATAGCTTAACTCTGAAAAGCCTTCATATTACTCAAAAATCCTAGTATCAGTGGAGCCAGAGTGGGGTAGAATTCTGTACTGCAACAGGAAGGAGACATATAGAGGTCTGGAAAATAATGAAGGTGGGAAGAAAGTGAATAAAAATGGTTATTATTGCTGCTCATAATGCCATATTAATTAAACCAGTTTATCTGGCAGCAGGGTTTAAAAAAGAACAGAAGGCAATATATTTTCATATAAACTCATTGCCACAGGATGGTCTCAAAATATAAATAAATAGGCTCAACAAGAAAATAGATACACTCAGGGGAGCTAGGCTTAATGAAGTCCCTGACACATGCTTGTCTAGCTGCAGTGTCCTCTTTGGAAATTAGTAAATCCCTAAACTACTGATTCTCAGAAGCATGAATGACACAAATGGGTAGGAGCTACTTTTCCTATAATCTGTTTCCAATTCTAAGCATCCATTACTACTTCCTTTCTTGGTTTCCCTTGAGGAAAGGACATGCCTAAGCCTGCTTTGAACGTTAAAAGCTTCCTCTGCAGAAATCGAGGTGAGAGTAAGAGACCATAAATGATTACCCATGGGCAGTTAATAAAAGCTGTGAGATACAAGTCCTAACCTGGATCCACGGAGGTGTTTGATGTGGACCAAAGGGTCACTGTCAGGGGGTCTCAAGCACTTGACTGAGTCGTGAATGGCTCACCCCATGCTGGGGGCCTATGGCAGTGTAGTCCTAACAAGGACTGCACTGTTTCTGCCACCCTTAAACTCCACGTGTTCCTCTCACCAACAGAACAAACAGGTTAATAAAGGTGGGGATTTTTGTGTAGAAATATAATGAAAGCCAGGTCAGAAAGGGAAGAGATCTCAGTCCGCTTGGTAACTTACACAGAATGAAATTCTACCAAGGAAAGGAACTTCTAGCTTCTCTTGCTTTCTTACCACAGGGTTTCCCCTTTGCACTTTACCAAGTCCTACTTCTGCCATAATCCACCTGGCAACAAGTTACAGTCGATCTCCCTCTAGTGGGTAATTAATTACCCATAAAAGCCACAGCAAGACTGAGATGTGTTAAAAATCTGCCCTGCACTTGCCTTCCTTCATCTCCTTTCTTCAGCTGGCTTTCTTCTTCTTTCATCTGTGATCTTTCTCACACGTGCATTACGTGTTTTCTTCATACCCTCCCTGAACTTTGTATCTGCTCCTTCTTCATTCTTGTGCTCTGTGAGGAGTTGGGCTTTTGAGGGGTTTCTGTTTGACTTTGATGTAAATGGAAATGAAAGTAAAGAACTGCCAAAGAATGAATTTAAAATGAAATATTCTAGAGATTAGTGGTGTTTGCACAGAGGCATGTATGCAACCCCCAATATGCCAAAGGCTTAGAAATCTGGGAAAAACCATAAGACCTACCTTAAGTTTGGAATTTTTTTTTTTTTTAATCAGGAGAAAGTCAAAAGAAATTTACATTTGGGTTTTCTTATCCTTAAAGTTGATTTATTTGGGTTGAAAATCTTCTGCATTCTGCTTAGTAGTTTGTTCCCCTTGAATTTGTTGTTCCATTACCACAACTATTAACAGCAAAATACATAAGCCAGCTGTGTTCAATCTGAAGTTAGCTCTCTAACAGCAACAGTTAACTACCAAAGAGTATTCCCAGAGCAGGGCTGACGTTAATTGAGAAGGATAGTGCTCTGAAATATGTGGAGACAAGATGCTATACAAATTGATTTAACCAGACCATGCCTTTTGTGTATGGAACTCTGTTTCTCTCCTTGCAGAGCATATAGCCTGGATACTATGGCTGTTACTGCATTTAGATTAATGGAAATATATTAGGGATGATTCTCAAAGGTATCTCCTTTCTCTGACTACTTTGGGGTTTCTTGTGTGTGTGTGGTAAAGCATATTTCAAACAAAAAAGATGAACAAGTCAATGTTGTCCAAATGAAAAATGACAGATCTGGTTGAAAGAAATTTTTAGGACAGGCTTTGATAATATATTCCTCCAGTGATAGAAGGCATCATATTAATCATTATATGTTACCTTTCTGTTTAAAACTTTGAATTATCTAGATAAACCAACATGAAAGACAATGTGCTCAATCCAAGTATTTTCCAGGTTACTGGAAAATTGACCTTTTCTCAATTCACTGTGGTAAACGGTGTTCCACAAAAATCACTAATTAGAACCCCAAGAGCCTTTATTATGGCAAACTTAGGTATCACAAAGCGAATGAATAAAATGAAGATAAACTGGAATTTTACTGAAGCAAAGTAAGATCACATATTATTTCTTGTGAGCAAATTCTGTGCCTAGAAACACCTATGCAGTCCACATATTTACATTATTTTGTGAAACAGCATCATACAAAAATAATTGTTCTATACAGCATATCAGGATTATCAAGTTATTTTACTAACATGGGTATAAAAAATATTGTAGCTTTTGCTCCCTTCATAACTGAATTGTCAATATAACTAATTTCATTTCACTGTAATAAAGATGAAATGAATTCCAATCCTGCTCCTATATCAGTTACAATATAATTTTATTCAGCTGAGACATTTCATAAACCTGCTGAAGGTAAGAATTGCAGACAGTGCTGAGGCAGGATGTGGAGGCAGGGAAGAGGTACTGCAGAAGAAATTTACAGGTTTTGTCTCCACAGCTTTCCTTGCATTGATGCACAGGACAAAAAGAATTCAGTGACTATCAGCTTTCAAGACCAGCTTGTAGAGCTGACAGTAAGAGAATGTTCTTTTGCATCCAAATTGAGTACATTTGTTCTAGAATTTATTAAGACAGTGTAAACAAAGAAACTAACAGTGCCACATCCTGTTCTTTATTTAGGTTGGATGAAGGCTTCATTTGGCATCATGGAAACTAGAATGACTACACAGGGCTAAACCAAAGGCCTGTGAGTCCCTTTATCCAATCTCTGGTCATAGTCAGAAATGAGTGTTTAAAGAAGGAGTATGAGGAATAGGGTGAGCATAGAGTGTTGCTGCCTGCAGCAGTGACTTGTATTTCATTGCTGCTGATAAACACACACAGAACAGAGTCTGGGGGTCTGAGCACAGAGCTGGGAGCTGTGAATTCGCTGTTTCAGTCCTGCCTCTGTCACCAAGGTTACCTGTGCATCGTTGTGTCCCAGCTCGTGTGCTGGTGGAAAACCTGCCTTCAAGCCTCTGCACTGCAGAGGCACATACAAGCCATGCTCACCTAGCCACACTCACATTCAGGCTGGTTTTGATCAAGTCTGGTATTATGGAAAGATTTGTTCCTCCTTGCTTAACACCTGTGATTGTTTCCTGAAGAGCTGCATAATATCCCAGTGCACTTCTTATTGTGCCCCTTTATCTCTTCCCTATTCCTTCTGGCTCCTCTGTTTTTCACATGGTTATCACTGGCCTTTGTGGTCCTTGTGCTTTGTCCTAGGCTTGTCATCCCTCAACTCCTACAATCAGGAACAGCAGGCTCGGTGCAAGCTAAAAACTGTGCAAATATTTTCCCTGTGTAGCCCAAGTCCAGGTCAATCCATCAGGTAGCACAGAGAAGCCAGCTCTTCCAAATGTCCCTGCTGAAGCTGCCAATAAAAAGGTCATCACCTGTTAGATTACCAGTAAAACCAGAAAGATAACGTTGAAGGCACGTCCTTAACATTTCCTGTTAAAATTTTTGTTTAAAAGCTATGTTTCACATTGCTTCAGGGCTACCTGCAATTCCCAGCATGATGGATGATCCTGAATGGATCCTCAGAAATTGAATCCATCAGCTGCAGGCCCCCTTCTGGTGAGTTCAGTTTCATCATTGCTCCTGGAAGTCTGTCACCTCCTCCACAGCCATCGTTCCCCCCTCCATTGGTCTACCATCCCTTCAGAAACACCAAGTGGAGGAGGACTGCAATCTCCACACTCAGGGCACTACTCAATATCACAATGCAGGCAGGTAAATAAGGAGTTGTCAAAATTCCTTTTCGATTTTTAACCTTACAAGGTAGAACCTTTACCAATGTGATACTATTGGGGGTTTCTACAAGCTTACTCAAGCTGCTGGATTGAAGGCCAGGTTTGAGGAACTTCTCCCCAGATCCTTTCACCTCAGGTTGAGCAGAACCCTGGAGAGCTCCTCCTCTTCATCCTCCCTGTGGCCTCCAGCTGCACTTCTGCACAGGGCAGGGGTGCACAGGAACTGGAGGAAGCCACATGGAAATCAGGGCTGAGTGGTAACCAAATATGTCTAACCCAGGGGGAAGCTGGTGGGAGTGCAGAGCTAGTCAAAGGGAAGGGAGTAGACTGGAACATACAGGCCCTGGAATACTGGCATGTCAGTGGAGGGCTGTGTATAGTCAATAAATAGAGATATGCATGTTTTAGCAATTTCCCCAGGGTAAAGTGAGTGGGAGTGTGTTCAAAGGGTAGCATTTGCTTTATACTGTCCTGTTCAATATATACATTAGGAAGTACATATAGGGTGTATGTTTGATCAAGGAATTTAGACAATAACCTGAATAATTGGCAGCATACACCAAATCCCATCAGTCTGATCCCAATGCCAAGTTTCTTCTCAGTATTACAATTTTGCAAGCAGTTAAAATGGCTACTTAGCTACATTATGTTACTACAAGCAACATCACTTGTCAAGTATTTTTAGTAGGAAAAGTGATGTTAGTTGTTGTGCATTACTACCCAGGTAAAAATCACACCCCTGTGTTAAGCATGCACAACAATATGCCATTAACCTGTTTAACATGATAGCTTGAAAGAGTGATGTGGTTTGCTTTTACATTTCTACTACAAGTCCTCTGTTATTACTCTGCACATTAAATTTTTTTCTGCTATAAAGAGGATTCAATGATTTTGCAAACCAGTCTCATCCCTAGAATGCTATAATTTTACAATTTCAAGGCTTTTCAGCTCAGACCCTTGCATATATGTCATATATCGCATTGCAGATTTCATCCAATAGTTGAAAATGTACTCTCAATGCAGTATCATCTTATCAGTATTCTAGCACCATAAGCCTTCTCACTGCAAGCAGGGGACTGTTCATTACAATGAAACTGAAAATGGAATAACTGAAGGATTGATTTATATGACCTTCACTCAGGAATGTTCTAATTCTGACATAATCTCTCTGACTGAAATCCTAAGCACTGTATAATTTTGATTTATTACCCTTAAAAGAAGGAGCCCGGATCTACAGATAACAGAATACCTGGCATGAAAAAGAATGGTGCAAAAGCCCAGGAAGACTGCAAGAAAATGCAGATTGATCATGTGACTTTACCCCAAACATTGTCTCAGCCAGCAAATCCATGAACGGAGCTGAAAGCAATGGAAAAACATTATGCGGATGTTTTCACAAATCCACTCTGTCACTTGGAAATCTCTCCTGATTATATACATTTTATAGCAAAGATAAGAGCATGTTAGTAAGTTCAAGCATGAAACAGTCTGTTTACTAAAGGCTGCAGGGAATGTTTATTAAACCAGCTAATTTATGGCAAAACAGGGCCAGAACTTGATATACTCCACAAAAAGCTGCTTTACCAGGCAGCTGTTTCCCTCCCACACTGACAGTGTAACCCACTCTGTGCTGTTCTGTCCTCACATCTGCTGCCATGGGAGCCAGGAGAAGGCTTGTAAGGGTGTGAGGGCATGTTGGACCTGACTGCTCACAGGTGAAAGCTAGAGCAGCCCTTCAGTGTGCTGCTTAAAATTAACAGCTGATATATTTAAAGCAAAGCAGCTGGATCTAAATCAAGTAGAATCTTCTTAAATTGAAAGGTGACTCAGGCTGGTTGTCACTTGGATTTTTTTAGTGAGGTAGAGTAGTTAGAAAAAAGAGCAGATAGAAACTATTCACAACAAGCTGGTTGATAAATGTACATTAAAAGCCCACTGAACACTGTCTTAATGCCCTGCAGGAACTGAAATCAACAGGTCAATTAAAAGTAGACTAACAAAAAGAAATCTGCCCTCCACCCGTGCCTTTTTTCTGTTCTTAATGTTTGGTGAAATGAATGCTTGCCTCCTTTCCTCCCACACACTCAGCTCACAGTTCCCACTTAGCCATTTCCCAGTCCTATTTTACACAAATCTTTATCTTATCCTACTTCTCCTGCAAATCCTTCTCCTCTAGAGCACTTATATCCTCTTCTTTCATAAAATTCACCTTTTACAAGTGGTACCTAATCAGTCTTACTTTGTCCTATCCAGGAAAGGAGGGGTTTATTTTAGAAAAAAAAATTATTGTTATTCAGTGAATTTTGTGGCTGGTATGAATGGTTTTATTCTACCAGATGGTAGTCTCCTCTATGCAGGAACATTTGTCTGCTTCACTGTACTGCACGATGCATATTATTCTCACCTATGAATGGGCCTTTTCCTTATTACTACCAAAGATCAAACATTACACAATTCCTCCAGTATGGAGCTACAATCTGAGTGACAGCTACTGCAGCCGCTGTAAAAGCACTACAGCCTCAGAAAGATTATTCCTTCCTTCCTGAATATGTTAGAGTTGCTATACCAGGAACTAAATTTGTGCTTAGGGATAGCAGGAAGTGCCTGATTCTTTTTATGTACTTGCAGAAAGGGAGAGAAAAAAAAGGGAAAAGAAGGAGATAAAAAAGAGAAGAGAAAATAATAAAAAGAAAAAAAAGAGGCTTGGGTAGAATAATATTTAGGACCTTCATTCCCTAAACTATTTTTGGACAATTTTCAAAGTAAGACAATAAAGTATTTATATCAAAAACTCTGTTTTACTAGAACGACATAAATCCTTGTAAGTGGCAGACAAAAGAGAAAAAAACCCATGAATATTATTTCTGTAATCAATTAGCACGTCGACATGTAGGAATACAACACAGAGAATATTTGATTCTTTGGACTAGAAAACTTAACATAAAGCCCAGTTCTGCAAACCAATCCTGGCATACTTGATTTTCAGCATGAGCTGTTTATTGAATTCTCAAATGAATGTATTTATCATTAGGAAAATCAAAATAGCAGAGGAAGTAATACAGTCTTAGATTTCCCAATGGTGAATTAATTAGCGGAGTCAATTCTGCCCTCAGCCTGGTATCTCATCCACCAGACAACACTCACTTCCCACTGTAATAACAGATGATTGTAAAAGCTTAACAGTGTTTTGCCAGTGCTGGTAAAGCTGATAGGGATGGGAGTGAAGGACAGCTTGGTATCTTCTTCAAGCAATGGCAAACTATTCAGTATGAGAGGTTAAGAACTACTTTATTAGGATGATTATCATTACCCTCAACAACAACTATAAAAAGCTCCAAGTCAAATGGTTCTGACTCACTTGTTGAAGGGTAATGCCATCTGTGGAGGAAATTCTGGGTATGGGCTGTCACCAGTGCCTAATCCCCCTGGAACAGGTGCACAGCAGTTTGCCAGTCCCACATCACAGCAGGGCTGGGGGCCAGGGCATCCAGCTCACAAAGTAGATGCCCACTGGAAAGGAGGAGGAAGAAAAGAACAAAGGGCCTGTCTTCATGTTTCTCCCAAGTGGCTTCCACTTGTAAAGTTTTGGTGACTAGAAAAATTTGGAATTTCTCCACTCAGTGTGCATCAGCAGTAATACCCTACTTGTCCTTCCTCACTAGCGAGCTCTCCTGGGCCACTGCAGCAGCTCTAGAGTGAAATACTTTTGCAGACAGTATGTTTGCAATTGTAAATTCAACAGATTCTCTATAAACTGGTGGCTGTTAATATAAAATATTTTAAAACAAAATGCCTAAGTACCAGATCAGTCCAACCTGACTGAGGTCAAAAAACATTTGTCAAGTCCATTCAGGACAGAAATATTCCAAAATTACCTTTTGAATGAATGAACAAGGAATACAGACTCAAAAGCTCAGCTCTGGCAGACGCTGAACTCGCTGTCATTTGATCTGCAGTAGCACTTGGGTGTCTGAGTAGGTCTGCTGAGGCAGAAGGAAACCTTTCCCAAAAAGATTGTTCAGCTAGTCCAAACTGGTAGCTTTTGAGTAAAAGAAAAACATTTTCTTACATTATAAGGAATATAAATAAAATAGCATAGTCCTTTCACTGAATAAGATACACCTATTAAAAATCACATATTGCAGAGTTAGAAAGGACCCTATAATCAGACCTGCACTAGACAGACAAGAAGACTTATTAAAGGGATTTTTTTTCAGTCTGTAATACAACACACCTTTCAATATAATATTTCTGTCCAATTAAAAATATTCTATTAATGGAGAGTCTATCATAGTTTTATTATGATTACAATTTATTGTAAACTTATTGTATTCATTACTAACCTGAGCTGTAAACAATGTAAATACTAGTAATTATTAAACTTGGAAACAATGCAAAAAAAGAAAAAAAAAAAAGACAGGAAAAAATGAAATGAAGCTGATTAAATGTCTGGTTCCCATTGATTGCCAATAGCTGCTAGTGTTAAATTAAGAGGTTATTTTATTGTCCCCTACAGCCAAGCTCAGCCATGCTCCATTCAATAACTAATAATTTATGTCTTTGAGTTAATAATAATTACAATTAAAATATTCCCATTTTCTGGCATGCTGTGTTTATTTTAGGATATTAACACAGCAATCCAAATACAACACGTAAAACTCCCTCAGGGTTTTCTGTCTCACATCCCAGACCTTCTGTTTCTTTATAAGCCTTAACAGCCACAGTTAGCAGAGATATAAATAGTCTGAAGCACAAGAGAATCTCTCTTCCCTGACAGAATCTTTATTTACAAGCTCCACAAACCTGAGCAGGTCAGGCAGTCCCTTGCTGGCAGGTTAATAAGGCCCACCTGCCAAATAAACCCACCAGTGAACTCCACAGGGCCTACATAAATCCAAAGCGCTTGCAACAAGATTTTCTCCCCAGGAATCATACTGAGGTGGGATGCTTATACTTCAAAAGGGGGTCATCTTTCAAACTCCAGAGTGCTTGTCTGCCTGGCATTCACACATGAGTGTGCAAAAGGTTTTTAAAAACCACAGTTCTTACCTGCAGAAGATACCATTATTTAACATTTATATTTCAATATTGCTTACAGGACACCCACATGCTGAGGCCTTCTCTGCTGGTTCCATATGAACATGTAAGGCTTGTAAGCCTCTGCCCTTTGGACTTTTTAAAGGGCAAGTATAATTGGGTCATAAATTAAATCTTTAAAATTATTCAAGACTTAACGTACAATTAATTTGCCTGCAATGCCACAGAAAGAAAATTAACAAATATGATAACTGGTTATTCAAACCAACCTAGAAAGTAATTCTCAGATGCCAAAGTAAGTTTTTTAATGAATATTGAAAATTATCAATGTGGAATTCCGTTCTGAGACCTAAGCTGTTTGAACACAACTCTTGGGCATATGTTTCCCATTGAATCAATGACTCCTTTATGTTCTTCCCTCAATCAGCTAGGCCCAGCAACTCTCCAAGTGTGGGCATATCCACAGGCTTCTGAAGAGGCCCACTCACTATGTTTATATTGCATTGCAAAAAGCATCTCCAAAGCATCCTTCAGATTTCTGTTTGCTGTTCATACAGTCAGCAAAGTGGCAAATTCTGAGCACATGCCTCATCATTTGTTAGGATGGCACCAGGCAGATTAAGGCAGATAATGGATCATAGCTGGGCACCAGAAGCTCTCTGGCTCAAAACACTAAAGCAGAACTCGTGATCCACTCATAAAGGGAGCTGGTTTACTGTGGTGTGTTTGAGGGTCCCAGGACAAGGGAAGAGATGAGAATCTTGACTCCATGTTTCAGAAGGCTGATTTATTATATTATGATCTTATATTATATTAAAATGCTATACTAAAACTATACTAAAAAGAATAGAGAAAAACGATCCATCAGAAAGCTAGAAAAGAACAGAAAGGAATGATAATAAAATCTTGTGACTGCTCACAGCCTCAACACAGGTGGCTGTCATTGGTCATCAAGTAAAAACAATTTCACATACTGGGTAAACAATTCTCCAAATCACATTCCAAAGCAGCAAAACATGGAGAAGCTGAAGCTTCCCAGCTTCTCAGGAGAAAAGATCCTGACAAAAGGATTTTTCATAAAATATGTCTGCGACAGTTTACCTTTGCACACCTGGCTGAGAACTGCAGGAGTGCCTGAGCTGATTCACAGACAGATACATGGCCCAGCCTTGGAGGTGGCAGAGGTAATCAGGAAGGGCAATATGCAGCTGGAGAGGCAGCCTGTGTGTAGTGGGCAGGGATCACAGGTCCCACTCTAATGACCAGTGAACATCTGATGAAGTTCTTTAATTTACTGTGAGGGACATATCCATATCAGGCCTACGGGCTGCCTGCCTGTAAAAATCCTTCAGGACAGGTTACAGGCACATCAGGGAGCGCATAAAAAAAGCTTGCAGCTCTTTGTTCCTGCAGGTCTACAGTGCACTGAACCAGAGTCCCCACAGGCACTGGGCATTACAGCTGTACTAGAGCATACATGATTGGGGCTGCAGACTACTTATTGATAAGTACAGCTATTTGCCAGAGTCATTCCAATACAAGTCAAATGTAGCAGTTTTACAAGTGTAGGTGAAGTAAGGAGCACATGTAGAACGTACATTTAAGATGGTATGTTGTGGCAAAGCACTTGGTTGCACTTTGAAGGCCTTGAATGTGTTCCTTTGAAGGCTTTGAATGTCAGATTACCAGAGAGAATGCTCAGTTTCAGGGTTCTGGTACTGCAGCTCTTGGCAATGTTATCAGTGGTGTACTTTTACTAACAGGCAAAATACCTCTTCTGGGGGTACTTTTGGGGTGAGACAGAAGTTGGGGCTTTGAATCACAGACTCCTTGATTCTGAATGCCATTGAAGTGCCTATCACATCCTGTGGAACCAGTGCTAACAGCTTTGAAGAACCAGCTAAGACCAAAAGATGCATGTAACACCAGCCCTTCAGCAAGCACTACATGCCCAGTTGCTGCAGCAATTACAAAAGGGGGAGTGTTCAAGTCCCAGCGGTTTGTGTCCATGGGAATGATGCTATTCTTAGCACAGTGGTACTACAACCATGCCCAGCTTCAGCGTGAGACAACAGAGAGTGGGTGAATCTTCATGCAGGCTGAACCTACATCCTGGCCAAGCCCAGCACCTTTCTTCTCTGCTGGGTACATTCTTCACTTGAATCACAGTTTAATTCAGCTGCTGTAAATGCAGCTGAGACAGCCTGATGTTTTTCTGCTATTTGTAACCTGGATGCAGATTTGGCACTGGGGCCAGAAGTGCCTTGGTGGGGTCAGTGCTGTACACTGTGACTCCTGCAGGCAGGGGTGAGCTGCTGTCACTGGACACACTGTGACTCCTGCGGGCAGGGCTGAGCTGCTGTCACTGGACACACTGTGACTCCTGCAGGCAGGGGTGAGCTGCTGTCACTGGACACAGTGTGACTCCTGCAGGCAGCCCAGCCCAGCCCAGCCCAGCAGCCCCTGCTCCCTGCCAGGGGCTCAGCGAGCAGGAGCCTCAGTGCTGCACTGCCTGGCACTGCAGGCTCT